GACCCGCGCAGCCTCGTGCTGCAGCTCTGCGACCTGCTGTCGGGGCTGCGCGTGCACGGCGTGGTCTTCGAGGACGACTCGCGCGCGCCCGCCGTCGCGCCCATCCTCGACTTCCTGTCGGCGCAGACCTCGCTGCCCATCGTGGCCGTGCACGGCGGCGCCGCGCTCGTGCTCACGCCCAAGGTGCGCGCGACCGGCGGGCAGGGGCGGGGCCAGAGGCCAGGGGTGGGGCTGGAACCACCTGGTGGGCGGGAGCTGGGAGAGGCGGGGTCGGTGTAGAGGGTCCTGTAGCCACAACGCTGCGAGGCCAGTTGGTGGCTGTCAGTTGTAGATAAGCGTTGGAGCTAATATGAAGGGACGCAGTTGATCAAGAAGGGGCAGGGTCTGCTCTGGGGCTCTGCTAGGTGCACGGTCTGAGAGAGCTCAGTTATGGGATGGCAAGTTAAGGGGCCAGTGAAGAGGTGTATCAAGACAAATCATGTAAGAAGGAAGTTCTTAGTGAGAGGTGGGCTGAGAGAGGTAGAATGAAGCAAATGACTGGGTTTAGGGTGAGGTCAGTCAAGGAAGGGGTGAATCAGGAAAGGGGTGGGCTAACCAGGGAGGGTGAGGTTAAAAAAGTGGCAGGATCCTGGCTCAATAAGTACTAATGGAACAGACCAGGAAGAAAGACTGCCCTGGGAGTGGGGTTTGTGCAGGGGCATACCCAGATATGGGAGAATCCAAAGTAGGCCTGGAAGGATGACCTCTACACTAGATGCAGGCCCAGCTAATGAGAGGACAGAGCTGGAAATCTGCAAGGGGTGACTGGAGCTGACTGGCCTGGAGAGAAGTCTGCCTTCCAAGGTTGTACAGGAGGAAATAGCTGGAGTGAACTTCTGGTAGAGAAGGGCAGAAAAGGGCCCTTGCCTGATGTTGGAACTGAAGAGAAGGGGTCTACTGAGAGAAGTTGCTAAGAAGGGGTAGGGCTCATTCAGGGATGGGACTCCCTGGCCCATGGGGCCATCTTGAGGGAGTGGAGCCCTGTGTCTGCACAATTCCCCGCTGTGAGGGCCAGTGTCTTTGTAAATAGGGTCACTACTTCATTCTGAGGTTAGTAGTTCTCTGTCTAGAGAGACAGAATTCTGGGAAGGGCCCCTGTCAAACTTTCTTCTCTTTGCAGTGGGAGTGTCTAGAGATTCATAGATAGTAAACCTAGGTGTACGAATTACTTACTGGTTGCCACCAGCATACCATAGCAATGTCTCCACTGCTTCTGACAAGTGTGGCAACACTGCTTCATCGTTGGCTGGCACTATAACCTGTTCAATGTCCATCCTTTGCCGCCTGGGAAATGTAGTGCCCTCTGTGTGTCCTGATGGAAAAGAGAATGGTCCTCAAAGGTCCTAATCTGTGGCCCCTTTAAATACTGAGAATGGGGTCCTCTTAGTATACCTGCTGAAGGGTTCTCACTGCATTCTGGGAGATTTCATCCCTTCAGGACAGCTGTTCTATTCCCTGACCATATAACCACAGTCACATGCCGAGGGAGAAAGTCTGTTTGCTCTTTTCATTGCATTACTGGAAGATTTATTGAGGGCTGATTCTGTGCCAGGGCTGTGTTAGGTTCTGGGGAATACAATTGTGAGAGGTTAAAAAAGAAGAAGAAGACAATGTCCTTGCTCTTATTGAGCCTGCATTCTAATGGGAGAAAGGCAAAGTGAATCACAGAAAGCAAAATCTGTCCTGGTGAAAAGGAAATGGCCAAGGATGGGGCTTCCATAAATGGCACAGGTCAGGGGACCCCCTTACCCCCCCCCTTTCCTAGGGGGAGGTAAAACTGAGAAATGGGTGGGACCATCAAGAGGAACAGGAGAAAACTATCCCCAGGAGATGTTAACAGTTAAGGGCAAAGTCAGAAGCCATAAGGATCTTGATGTATTTGAGGAAGAGCGAGGAGGTGGGGGTGGTGCAAGATGAAGTCAGTGAGGCCACAGAGGCCAGTACATGCAAATTTGGCTTTCATTCTGAGATAGAGTCACTGGGAAGGTTTCAACCAAGATGGGAGATGATCCATTTAATATTTTGAAAAGATAACTCTGGCTGCTATGTGGATAAAATGGACAGGAAGATGTGAGAAAAGAAGCAGAGATGGGTTAGGAAGCTATTGTACTTGTCTAGGCAAGAAAGCAGTGACAATGAGATTGTGACAGAGCAGTAGAGAAGAATGGCAAAGGGTTGTGTTTTGAATATAGCACTGAGAAGACTTGGAGATGCCTGGATGTGAGCAGAGGGAAATGATAACAGATTTGGGGACTGAGCAACTGGAAAAAAAAAAAAAAAGCAGGAACCTGGTTTTAGGGGATGGACACAGAATTCTCTTTGATGTGCTAATTTTGCCATGCCTCTAGGAAATCCGCGGGGGTGTTGTTGAGTAAAAAGTATGGTAGGTTTCTCTGGAGCTACCTAGTGAGGTTGTGATTGAGGATAGGAGCCAGCAACATATTTTGTTGTGCAAAAGGATCTTCTGCAATAATGAAGATGGTCTGTGTTTGCTGTTGATGGTGGTCCAATGTGACAGCCACTCACTGACATGTGGCTGTTGAGCACTTGACTTGTAGTTAGTGCAAATGTGAGTAGTTATGGGTGACTAATGGCTGCCCTACTGGAGAGTGAGGGAGACAATATTTAAATCTGTAGATCTGTCATCATTTCCCTCTGCTCACATCCAGGCATCTCCAAGTCTTCCCAGCTAAGGAAACAAACAGAAAAGACAGGGAGGTAAAAGGAAAATCCGAGTAGGGAGAAGACTCAGGGTCTTCAGCATACTCACTGAATGCTGGGAAATGTAGTCCCTTTCAGTGAATGCTCTAGTTCTCTCCCTGGATGGCATGTGTATTAACTAGAGTAACTTACATTGACAGATAGTTTCCATGTTTTAGTGACTCAACACAATGAAAGAGTATTCCTCACACTTTTAAAACTAGACCAGTGTTCCTGATTGGTGTGGCTCTCCTCCATGCAGTGACTCTGAGACTCAGGCTCCTGCTTCTTGTAGCTCTGTAATCACCTAGGACTGCAGAGTCTCTTCTGGGGCTTCTGCATCAGTCCTCAGACAGATCAGAGTGATGTGCATGGGAGACAGTTTTTGTGGATGAGTCTCCAACTCAGTCACATGACTAAACCTGATGTTGGTCCAGCTCTGAGAAAAAGAAGACAGGTTTGGTGAAGAGCTAGTTAATCTGGCCTATTTAAAATTATGACCTGAGTGGGCCATTAGGAACGAATCTCCTTAACAATTGCTAGAAGATGGGGTCCCCTCTTGACCTGCTGTTCACTGTTCAAGGTTCCTTATGGATTGATGGGAGCCTGCTCTCCATCCACATCAAATTATCCTGACATCCTCCTCCTCTCCCACAGGAGAAGGGCTCCACCTTCCTGCAGCTGGGCTCCTCCACGGAGCAGCAGCTTCAGGTCATCTTTGAGGTGCTGGAGGAGTACGACTGGACGTCCTTTGTAGCTGTGACCACGCGTGCCCCTGGCCACCGGGCCTTCCTGTCCTACATTGAGGTGCTGACTGATGGCAGCCTGGTGGGCTGGGAGCATCGTGGGGCACTGACGCTGGATCCTGGGGCGGGTGAGGCAGTGCTGGGTGCCCAGCTCCGCAGTGTCAGTGCCCAGATCCGCCTACTCTTCTGTGCACGCGAGGAGGCTGAGCCCGTGTTCCGGGCTGCCGAGGAGGCTGGTCTCACTGGGCCTGGCTACGTCTGGTTCATGGTGGGGCCCCAACTAGCTGGAGGTGGGGGCTCAGGAGCCCCGGGGGAGCCCCTTCTTCTGCCAGGAGGGGCCCCACTGCCTGCAGGGCTGTTTGCAGTGCGCTCGGCTGGCTGGCGGGACGACCTGGCTCGGCGTGTGGCAGCTGGGGTGGCTGTTGTGGCCAGAGGTGCCCAGGCCCTACTGCGTGACTATGGTTTCCTGCCTGAGCTTGGCCATGACTGTCGTGCCCAGAACCGCACCCACCGAGGGGAAAGTCTACATAGGTGAGTGGGGCTGGGATGGGAAGGGTGTGGGAAGGCTCCAGAACCTGAATACCTGGGGGACTCCCTGGCTGAGTGGCCTCAAATGGACCACATTCCTCTCTCAGATACCCATTTTTTTTTTCCTGTAAAATGGGTGTAACTGTGCCTCCTTTCTGTGGTTAAATCAGATCATTTCGAAGAAAGACCTAACAGTAAGTGTATTACTGTATTTCAAGATACTAAGATGCACATTTTTGTCACAGTTTAATGATTTTGAAATCAAGACATGTCTTACAATTACTTCTTTTCATGGTTTAATTGGAAGAGCTTTTTCTTTGTGGTACCTAAAAATAGGACCACATTTCCTCATTGAGAGCATCTTAGATTCAGTGAAATAACTTGGTTAGAGTGTGATCTGAGTTCTAGTAACAAGAATATCCAACATTCCAGTTGGCCCAAACAAGGCAGAAGTTTGTTCCTTTCTCACTGAACAATCCAGTGTCCAGATACTGGAACTTCAGTGTTCCATGTGATCATTCAGGGACCGAGGACCATCCTAACTTGCTCTCTGCCACCTCCTTTCTATCAAAGCTGAGTGGTGCACATGTTTATAATGTACCATATGAGAAAAGGAAAAAATCGAGCAATTTTCTTTAGGGGAAGCAGTAATTCTTACATCCCATTGGTGAGACACGGTCACAGGCTTACTGGTGGTTTACTCTTACTTCCTATTGGATTGGACATCGACTTTTATTGGCTTGTGCCTGCTGTTAGGTTTTGAATGCCCCTGTTTGCATTCTGTCTGCAAGGAGAGTTGGGATACTGACTCTAGCTGGGCTGATGTATGCCCAGCTCGCATGCTTATTTTAGTAGAGGAGAACAGGGTTTGGTAGAAAACAGCATCTCAAACACAGGAAGTTTTGGGAGTGAGAAACTGGTGCGTTTGATGACAGAATTGTGCAAGGGGGGTTCGAAATCTTGAAAGGACGATCAGCTGAGCTTGGGAAGATGTGACAGGTCGGGGAGAAGGTCTAAGGGAGGAGAACTGAAACAGGTGGGTTCGGGGATCAGGATCCAAGGGCAGGCTAGTGAGGAAACATTCCCTTGTTCATAAATACTTACTGAGCGCCCACTAGGAACTAAGGATCATGCTGGGCACTGGGTACACAGTGATGAGTAAGACCAGGACGTGTCTTCAAAGAATGCAGGGTTCTATAGGGACGGTGACAGGGATGGGGATAATGACAACACAGCATGCTCCTTGTAATAATGGAGGTGGCATGGGCATTGTGGGAGCACCAGGAGGAATGCTATCTAAGCCAGAGTGTCATTCAGGTTTCCTCAGGGTGAGGCAGGCTTATTGGAAAGATAAACATGCACAGAAATCTAGACATCAGCAATTGAGGCCAGGTCTGGGGACTAGCTACTCTTTCATCTCTTATTCTGTCTGCTTCTCTGGGGGCGGGGGTGGGGGTTTCTCTCTCTTCACTCACGGAAGCTGTTCAGTTTTTCTGTTATCACCACTTCCCCAGAATTTCTACTCTTTCCCAATACTAATAATGTCAGGCTATTTCTGTCCACCTCACATCCCTCCCAACATTCCCACAAGAGAGAAATTTTCATTGGCCCAATCAACCTTCCAAACTAGGCTGTGCCAGTCATGAGTCAGCCTTTGGAGCTGGGGAGACCAAAAGGGTGAATTGATCATTCGTTCATTTGTTGAAAGGCCCTTTATTGTAAGTTTACCAGGTGCCAGGCCTGCTTTAGGCATAAGAATATACAGCAGTGAATGATGTCCCTGTTCTCACAAAGTTTACAATCTTATAGAGGAGACCAGCAGTGAACAAACAAGAAAGCAGAAAATATCAGTAGGTGATCATTTCTGATATGAAAATAACACAGATGGAGTGTGCTAAGGAGCCCTGTCTGAATAGGTGAAATATGAAAGTAAAAAATGGACAGAGATTGTTGAAAGACCAATGTGAAGAGAAAGGAGAGGGCACAGCAGATGCAAAGGCCCTGGGGCTCTCACATATGTGGGAGCCTAAACCCAAGTCAGTGTAGTTAGCGCATAATGGGCAAGGTGGAAGGATGAAACTAGGGGGTGGAGAAACCCAGGGAGTCCACGTCATGTAAGGCAAACAGGTCAAGGTGAGGCCTGGATTTGATTCTAAGAGCAGTTGGGACTTTACGAGAAATGGAGATTATTCCAGGCCATGGGAAAGGGATGGTGCAAAGGGTGCAATAGCTCAGAGTGGACAGAGACAGGAGAATTACAGGGGGCAGCGGGAAACAAAATGAGGCTGGGAGGCCATAAGGACGATGCGCACTTGCTTGAGACTTTGTTACAGGGCACTGGGGGACAATGGCGAGCTATAAGCGGGGGCGCGGTAGACTCCGTTGGGGTGTTGAAAGATCCCTCTGTGGGTAGAGTGGGGAAAAGACTGAAAGAGACAGACAGGAGGCTGAAGGCCAGGCAGGAGACTGGGGTGGGGGCCCCGGAGGGCTGCCAACACAGAGGAGAGCAGAAGTGGCTGCAGGAGCTGTAGGATGGGGTTTGGGGAACTGATTAATGTTTAGACAGGGAAGGTGAGGGTCTGGCCCAGGAACTGGTGAAATATGAGAAGCATTTAGAATATAGGATGCCACTGTGTAGTAAATGTGGCTGTGAGTTCAGAAACCTTCCCAGAGAAAGGGATGCTTGAGCTGAGACTTGATGACACAGGAATTGGTCATGATGAGATCAGGGTGAGAAGGCAGAGAGAACACATGTGAGAGCCTAGAGATAGGACACTGCTTGAGGTGTTTGGGAGACACTTTGCATGCTGAATTAGGACACAAGAGGGTTTGGATTTAAAGAGTTTGAAGGTGGGAATTAGTCAGAAACAGAGTTGCCAAAGCAGGCAGGGTCAGAACACACAGGGCGTCGTCTTGGGCCTCAAACCCAAGCTAAGGTTCGAGGATCTTGTCGGCTTGACAGCTGGTGGGTAACCTGCAGAGCAGAGAAGTATATTTGGGTTTCAAGACCTTGGAGTGTGACTCCAGCTAGAAGTTGGTGCTGGTCCGTAGAAAGAGGACTGCCTCTGCCTTCAGACCCCGGATGCAGTTCAAGTCCCCATTGCCCCCTCCCTGGTTCCCTGGCAGGTACTTCATGAATATTACCTGGGATAACCGGGATTACTCCTTCAATGAGGATGGCTTCCTGGTGAACCCCTCCCTGGTGGTCATCTCCCTCACCAGAGACAGGACTTGGGAGGTGGTGAGTCCCAGTCCCAACACCAGACATTGGAGAGGGCCCGGTTTTCTGGGTCCTGCAGAGGAGGGGGCTGAAGTTGGGGGCTCTGGCCTCTGAAAAAGAGACTGGAAATCCAGACCCCTGGGTTTGAAGGGGGCAGGGTCTTCTGAGTCCTAAGGGGAGGAGGGATATAGGGTCCAGGGTCCTGGCTCCTGGGTCTGTAATATGTCCAGATGAAAGGCAGGTTGGAAAGTCCCTGAAGGAAGCCCAAATGCCCTTCTCTTGGCCAAGGTGGGCAGCTGGGAGCAGCAGACCCTCCGTCTCAAATACCCGCTGTGGTCCCGCTATGGCCGCTTCCTGCAGCCAGTGGATGACACGCAGCACCTTATGGTGGCCACTCTGGAGGAGAGGCCCTTTGTCATCGTGGAACCTGCTGACCCCATCAGTGGCACTTGCATCCGAGATTCTGTCCCCTGCCGGAGCCAGCTCAACCGCACCCACAGGTGACAGCCGGGGATCCAGAAGTTCCAGCTTCAAAACCCTTCTCCCTAGAAAGCAGTCTTGGCTCTGGCTCTCTCCTCCCTTGGGACCCAGGGCACACACAGCCCTCCAGCTTGGTCACCTTGGACACATCACCTAACTCCTCTGAGCCTCCTTTCCCCCAGACAGCGCTATCTTGGTTTTAGCTGCTGCCAGTCTCGCCCCCTCTACCCTCACCTCATGGGAGAGCCTAAGGCCGGGGTCCCCGAGTTCCCCAAACCTTCTCACTCCCCGCAGCCCTCCGCCGGATGCTCCCCGCCCAGAGAAGCGGTGCTGCAAGGGCTTCTGCATCGACATTCTGAAGCGACTGGCACACACTATCGGCTTCAGCTATGACCTCTACCTGGTCACCAATGGCAAGCACGGGAAGAAGATTGACGGCGTCTGGAACGGCATGATCGGGGAGGTGAGGCTGCCAGGATTCCGGGAGTGTGGGAGGGATAGAACAGTGGGGAACCGAGCGGGGCCGGGAAGCTTCTGGATCAGAAGGGGCGTGGCCAAGAGGTGGAACTTGTGTCCAGGGAGGGCGGGATCCGAAGGCGAGAATTCTGGGGCTGGAGCGGCATAGTCAAAGGCAGGAAACGCCTCCTGTGAAGAGGCGGAGCCACAAGGAGGATCCGCCTGGGGGCGGGGCCAGGAGACGAGACGCGAGACGGGGGCGGGGCTAAGGACAGAGCTCCTCGCTGGGAGGGGCGGGTCGGGAGAAGGGGCCCCGCGACGCAAGAGCAGGACCCGACCCCACCCGGAACCACCTCTTCCCTTTACTGTTCCCTCTACTCTCATCTCCTCCATTCCTGCTTTACTCCGCAACTCCTCATCCACTCCGCCATTCTCCTAGCCCTTTCCTTCACCCTGTCAGCGGTCTGCTCCTGCGGCCTGTCTTGCACTCCTACCTCTTTCTCCACTACCTTCCCCACGTCAACCTTGTTCCCTCAACCCTTCCACATCCTCATCCCAGGTGTTCTACCAGCGTGCGGACATGGCCATCGGTTCGCTCACCATCAACGAGGAGCGGTCCGAAATCGTAGACTTCTCTGTGCCCTTCGTGGAGACCGGCATCAGCGTCATGGTGGCACGCAGCAATGGCACCGTGTCCCCTTCTGCCTTCCTTGGTGAGCCTCGGACAGCTGTCCTCAACCACATGGACCCTGGGGTTAGAAAACCTAGAATCTGGGCCCTCCCTAATGGCACAGCGGGTTAAAGCACAGTACTATGAAGCTAGCAGCAGCCACTTCAGAGCAAGTTCGATCCCTAGCCTGGGAGGTGACCCATATGGCGCAGCAGACTTCTCCTGGCTCTCCGCTGCTCCCCTCAGCAGTGTACTTCATCAGTTCTGCTCACCGCTCTGCCTCTGGTGAATTCTCTCACTGTCCCTGCACCTTTGGCCTGTACCCCAATTCTGTATGCATAAATAAATCTTTTTTTTTTTTTTAAAAAGGGGGGCCCTCCCTGGTGGCTCAGCAGGTTAAAGTGCAGCACTGCTAAGCTGTCTGTGGCCACTTCAGTCCAAGTTCTATCCCCAGCCCTGGAGGTGGTCCACATGGCCCAGCAGACCTCTCCTGACCTATCTGTTGCACCCCTCAGCAGTGTATTTCCTCAGTCTGCCTGTTCTGCTCCCCACTCTGTCTCTGGTAAATTCTTTCACAGCCCCTGCACCTCTGGCCTGTATCCCAGTTCTTTATGCATAAATAAATAAAATCTTTAAAATAAAAAGGAAAACCTAGATTCCATTCCTGGCATTGCCCATGTCGCTAGGTGACTCCAGGAAAGTTACCTCACTTCTGAGTCTCAATTTCCCAAACTATAAATTAGGAGAATTGCCCAACCAGAAGTGATTCTACCAGGAAGCCAGGGAAGCTTGAAATTCAGGACCTTCTCTTACCTAGCTGCTTCAAGACCCTGGACCTGGTTTTGTATTCATACTTTTGTATTTTTTTTCTTTAAAGAGAGCCCACAAAGCCCAAGCTTACCTTTATTTATTTTTAAAAAAGATTTACTTATGCATACAGAACTGGGGTACAGGCCAAAGGTGCTGCGGGTGTGTGTGTGTGTGTATGTGTGAGAGGATTTACCAGAGACAGAGTGGGGTGCAGAACAGGCAGATGTACTGAAACACACTGCTGAGGGGAGCAGCGGGCAGATCAAAAGAGGTCTGCCACACTATGTGGGTCACCTCTTTGGCTGGGAATTGAACATGTGCTGCAGTGGCTGCACATAGCTTCACAGTGCTGTGCTTTAACCCATTGTGCCACTAGGGAAGGCCCCCAAGCTTACCTTTATATAGAAGTAGGAAATGAGAAAAAGAGATGGTACTGGCACAGGGTAAGGGCTCAATTCACACATCACTGTATATTGAACACCTACTCTGTGTCAGGCTCTGGGCTCCACACAAATCCCTGTCCTCGAAGAGCTTGCCACCTAATGGGAGAAACAGAATATAAAGTCTTAGAGGAATTCGTAGACAAAAATGACTTCAGCTGGTGATTGGTACTACAGGAAAGTGAGCTAGAGTAAAGTCATAGAGAGGAAGAGGATGGTTGGGTGGTCAGGTGTCTCTATGCTAGTAGCCTAGCTCTGTACAGATCTGACTGGAAAAGCTTTCAAGCCAAAAGGAACAGGATGCACAAAAGATCCAAGGTGGGAATGCATGTGGAGTATTTATGAGCTACATGGATACATATGTAACTGGAAATGGAGTGAGAGAGTCGGAGGGCTGAGATGAGGGTCGACAGGGAATAGGGCAGATTGCTCAGGGAGGTTGAGGTTTATTCTTAGTGCCATTATGATCAGATTTAGGTTTTAAAATATTCCACTGTTTGCTCTGTGAAGGAGGCCTTTGAGGAGGCCACTGAGTAGTCTGGGCAGAGAGGATGGGAGTGTGGGATATGAAGAGGGCAGCGAAGATGAGACAGTAAACAGGTGTGGGATTTGACATGGAAGCTGACACTCAGATGGGTTGGTGGCTTTGAGTTGGGTTCAGTAGAGGTTTCATTGTCTGAGCATGGAGGAGGCTGAGGAGACGTTGCAAGGGCCAAGCACACCAGCTCACACCAGTTCTTGCTTGCTCACTTGTGGTCTCCTCTTTGCCCCAGAGCCTTTGCCAGGCAACCTGAGAGGCACCACATGGGGCCTCTGCTGTCATCAGGGAAGTGACAAGGTCACGTTTATGCCCCACAAAATTGTCCAGCAGAGGTGATACCACAGTGACAGTCCAGGTTGGTGACCCTGCTGTGACTGTGCAATCCTGGTCACTTGCATTTGGCTCAGAGAGGTCAAGTCACATGGTACCAATCTCAAGGCAATGGTGATTTGGGTTTTACTGTCAGTCAGCTCCTGGAAGCAGGGTGAGGAGGGACACGTGGACACCAGCTTTTCTGAAGGACAGGTGAGAGTGGAGCATCTGGCAGGCAGGCCTTGAAACAGAGGCAGAGAGGGTGTGGTTCATTGGGGGTAGTGGGAGTTCTGAATAGTCAAAGCAGTGGGGTTTTAGGAGAGAGCCAAGCTAGAGAGAAGAGTGGAAGCAAGATTAGGGGCAGGGACTTTGTTCTGAGGCACTGAGGACCCAAAGGGAGATCTGTGAGTGGAAGGAGAGAGACTGTGTCATATCTGGGTGTAGAAAGAACCTCCAGGGCCATGGAGAGGTGGGCTGGAGGCGAGATACTGGTAGATGTGCCAGGGTAAAGGGCGAGGTCTGATCCATGTTGACTGAGAATGGACAAGCTGAGGTAGCAAGAAAGGTAACAGGGTTGGAGCAAGAGACTGGGAACTCATAGACAGGGGAGAGGGAGGAGGAGGGGCTAAGTATGGCAGATGGTGGGGGAGGGAGGTTAACCTATGGCTCATTTGATGGTGGGGCTTTCAAGAAAGGGAGCCTGGGATTTGGTGCTAGGCTTGGTTGGGGTCATGATGAATGGAATTGGGGGGTGGTCCCCTCAGTGGAGAGATAGAGACATGCTCAGGAAACATGTGGAAGACAGTTTTAGAGATGACTAAGATGGCTGTCTCTGAGAGAGACTCTCCCATCTTCCACTAGAACTTAGCCACGAGTTAGAGTAAGACAGGTTCCAACTACCCTGGGCCCTTCCCCCGTCTGCAATCGCCTCCCCCAAATCCTTCACTTGGCTGAGCCATAACCACACATCCCCTTTACCCCTAGAGCCCTACAGCCCCGCCGTGTGGGTGATGATGTTCGTCATGTGCCTCACGGTGGTTGCTGTCACTGTTTTCATCTTTGAGTACCTCAGTCCTGTCGGCTACAACCGCAATCTGGCCACTGGCAAGCGTGAGTCCCCTACTTCCATTGCCCTTCCTAGGAATACCTGAACCTCAGATAGACCCACATTTCCCAGCAACCCTGGGGTTGGGTAGAGCTATGCCTCTTGAGTGGGCAGAGGCCTGGGGCCGCTGGAAATTATAGTTCTTTCTACTCCCTCATTGAGCAGAAGGGATTTGGGGTCCATGTCCCCCTCCTGGCCCCCTGCAGGCCCTGGCGGCTCAACTTTCACCATTGGGAAATCTATCTGGCTGCTCTGGGCCCTGGTGTTCAATAACTCAGTGCCTGTGGAGAACCCCCGAGGGACCACCAGCAAAATCATGGTGCTGGTGTGGGCCTTCTTCGCCGTCATCTTCCTCGCCAGCTACACAGCCAACCTGGCTGCCTTCATGATCCAGGAGGAGTACGTGGACACCGTGTCTGGGCTCAGTGACCGAAAGGTGCGTGTTGTAGGGGTGGAAGGGCTAGGGAGCTCAGCTAGGAGGTCACAGCTTGGCATCTGGGGGTCCAGAGGGGGGTTCCTGAGATTTCTTCCTAGACAGAATTCCAGAATGGTTGAATGGAACGTTCTGGAGGAGAAAAGGTATGTTTCACAGTGACTGGTTAAAAATTCTCAGGGGAAGAGAATCCTCAGATGTTCTAGGGGCAGTGATGCCAGATGATATCTTGTAGACCGTTGTTTCTCTCACACTGATGAAAGGCTCATTTTTTAAATTTCTAACCCAGTGGAGCCAACATGCTTGTAAAATGCAATTGAAATGAATGACCGGGCAAAAAATTAAATTTGAAATCAAGACATGCAAGATTCTCAGCTCAATTTTTATGTATTAGGTTCAACAGACATAAAATTATTCCATCAACTTGCTCTAAATGCTCACTCTCTTGATTTCCGCACTCCCCCCACCCCCATGGAGTACAGTGTTCAGGACTGGTAGTCGGTCCTGCAGTCTTAGAGACTAGAGTAGCTCACTGGGAGCTGTTGATAGGAGGAGAAACTGATTCACTGGCAGGCAATGAGCATTTTTGGTAATGGCTTGGAATAGAATAGAATAGAAAGTATGTTTGAATATATCTTATATAATAAGGGTGAGTGTGTTTTGCAAAATATTCGTTTTAATCGTACGTGTACTTGACACTGAGTTAGTACACACCTATCTGACTCCATCTCTTGTTAACATAGTGAACTATTTTTTAATGGATTGGAAGAAGCCACTGCCCTTGCCCACCTCCCACCCCTCCCCACGACACCTCCTCCCCTGGGTGGCCCATGATTGAGCTAGCGACTCTGGCACATGGCGGGGCTCAGGGATCCTTCTTGAGCTCTGTAGCCAGTGTCTTTTTCTGTTTGGACCGTGATCAGGCCAGGCTGGGTGTCAAATGTTTCAAGATGGTGCCCGATTACGTCTACCTATGTATCCAGAGACATTCCTGCGTACATATGTGTATATATCTGCAGATGGATATGTGAATGGGGAGTAGAGAACTGCTGTGGGTCACGGTGAGCAAGGCTGAGAAAAACTCCTGGGCTGGGCTGTGTCTGCCAGTTTGTGTCCCCCAGAATGGAGCATCTGGTGGGGGACATTCTCAACCCAGATGCCCACTGGGTGGGGACCACAATAACCTCTTTTTCTGCCCCAGTTCCAGCGGCCCCAAGAGCAGTACCCGCCCCTGAAGTTTGGGACAGTGCCTAACGGGTCCACGGAGAAGAACATCCGCAGCAACTACCCCGACATGCACAGCTACATGGTGCGCTACAACCAGCCGCGTGTAGAGGAGGCGCTCACTCAACTCAAGGCAGGGTCAGCGCAGACTGGGGGGAGGGCCGGGCCGAGGCCGGGCGGCGGGGCTGGCGTGGGTGCCGGGCTGGGCAACTGGACTGGGCAACGGGATCCGGGAGGATGCTTCCGAGATGGCCTGGGATCTGGTTCTTTAAACAGTCTAAGAGGGCTTGTGGGAGTGATTGCCCCCTTCCGGGACTGGGGTGTGATGTTTCAGGGATTCGGTAGTTTACGGGATCCATGGCTGGACTAACAGGGTTGAAATGCAGTTTCTGCCCCTTTTGGGGCTGTGTGGGCTTTGGGCAAGTTACTCAACCTCTCTGAACCTAATTTCCTTCTTGGTAAATGCAGGTAACAAAAGGACCCATTTCATAACCTTGTTATAAGGATTATTATCATTATAATTATCAGCTGATAGCTTATCATAGTTATTCTTAATAGTCAGCCTATACAAAAACACTTGGAATAGTGCCTGGCACACTGTGTTTGCCACTGTTATTACTATTACTACTATTATATCTAAACTCACTGGAATTGATACTTAGATAATGTTTTTAACATAAGTTTCCCAAATCATAGCGATAAGGTTAAATTTAAGCCTCAAAGTACAATCCAAGGTGAGAAAAATGCCAAATGCAGTAATCGCTTCCATAACTCCCTTTCCCTTAGTCATTCAGCATACATTTATTTCCTTAACCCTGTTCTAGGCTAGGCAGTGAGCAAACAGACCACAATTTCTGCCCTCAAAGAGCTCTTGGTCTAGAGGTGGGAAAACCAGAAAAACCAGCATGATCATTCAGAAAGTGATATTGCACTTGAGCACAACTGAGCTGGGATCTAGTCACCAAGGTGCTCATGGTGGGCTTCTTGGAGAAAGTGACCTGAGCAGAGCCCTGAAGGAGGTGAGACTTTCGGAGGCAGTGCTTTGAGGCAGAGGAAACAGGGTCTGCAAAGGGCCTGACCCAGCCTGGAGTGGTCTCAACTGATCAGAGGAAGCAAGTCAACGTGGCTGAAGGTCAGAGAACTCAGAGGAGATGAGGGCCAAACCAGGGCTGGGTTTTATTCAATGGGCATTGAGAAGCTGTGGGGAGGGGTACTTTAGAGAGAGGCAGGACTGTGATCTCAGCTCTCTTTTTAAGGAGCCCTCTGATTGCCATGTGAAAAATGGATGAAAAGGGGTGTAATCAGATGGAGAGTGGTGTAATGGGGACTGTGTGATGAAGGCTATTATGTCCCCTAAGTCACCTTCCCCATGGCCCACCCTCTGCTCACCCCTCAAACAACCACTCTTAGCCTGGTCTTTTTTATCCCTGTGGCTTGATCAGAATAATTGGACTGCAAGGAAAGAACGCAACATGGCTTCTTTTCAAGAAATCAATATAGTTTCAGTAAAATGATAGGTTAGTGTGAAGACACAGGGGTGTCGCTAAGAACCAGTTACAGAAAGGAAGGCTGGGCTTTGTGGAAATGTGCAAGTCACTCATTCATTTACAGATTTTTTTAAAGAGCACCAACTCCATTTCTACACTCAATAGCAGGAGTCAACAAAAGTTTTTTTTTTTGCTTTTAACCTCTCACAATAAGAAAACCAGGGGTGAGGGCCTCCCTGGTGGCTTAGGGGTTAAGACTCAGCGTTTCTACCATGACAGACTGAGTTTGATCCCAGCCAGGGAGCTGACCCACATAGTGCAGCAGACCTCTCCTGTCTACCTCTCCCTGCCCCTGCCCCCAGTAAATCTGCCTATTCTGCTCCCCACTCTGTCTATGGTGAATCCTCTCAATACCACCACCTGCACCTGCCTCTGGCCTGTACCCCAGTTCTTTTATGTGTAAATAAATAAAAGCTTTAAAAAGATAAATTCAAGGGTGGCATGAAGCTCAAAGATACTAGTTCTTCCCATACATTTGTTCCTTTGACTTTGGAGTGCAGACCTCTTGTTTTCCTGAGGGAAAACAGAGTGACCTGGGTGTGGATCCTTACCCAAGACCCAAAAGCAAAATTTTATGAGGGGCTTATTTATAAGGGGAATGAGAAAAGGGAGAACAGAAAAAGAGTAATGCCATCTGCTTTGAGACATTAGGGTGCAAGTTGAAAGGCAGAAAAAGCATAAGAGCCTCAGCCCCATATATTCAGTTACATGGCTGCTAAATTCCATTCCTAGTTCCCAGCAGACCTCCATTCAGCTAGTCAGATTCATGGCTTGCTGGGAATTGTAATTCTAAGCACCTGAGATTGCTTCAGCTTGGAGATGGGATGGAGTCTGTAAAAACTCAGGAGCAGAGTACATTCAGGACATCCTGCTCAGATCTGCTCCTTACCGTTCCTCCAAAACTTCATGTTTATAGTGACTACCTCATAGTCACAAGATGGCTGTCGCCACCCTCTCTGGAGCTCAGCTTGGTTCCAGGCAGGCAGGGAGAGGAAGAGTGAAAGAGTGGAGGATCTTCTCCTTGAAAGGTCTTGCCTTTTGTATGTGTGTTAGGAAGGGGTATGTCTTTCTCAAAGACTTTTAGCTATACCTCACAGTGTATCAAATGTTCTCTCCTAGCTGCAAGGGAAGCTGAGAATAGGTATGTTAGCCCCCGTGCAATTTGCGTTTATCACCTGGTAGCTTCTCTTGAACCTTTCCCTTCTCCAACTGTTTAGTTCCTCTTTCTCAATTCCTGAGGTCACATCATCTCTTGGGCCCCATTTCTCTGTGGCTCCTCTCATGCTTTCCCTGCATGTCTCTTATTTCTAGTACTGAGAGTGTCAGTACTTTCTTACATCGACATCTATAATGCTGTTTTTTTTTTTAAGATACATTTATTTATGCATACAGAACTGGGATACAGGACAGAGGTGTGGTTGGTGAAAGGATTCACTAGAGACAGAGTGGGAAGCAGAACAGGCAGATATGCTGAAATACACTGCTGAGGGGAGCAGCGGGCAAAACAGGAGAGGTCTACCACACCATGTGGTTCACCTCCCTGGCTGGGAATCGAACTCGTGCTGCAGAGGCTGCCATAGCTTCACAGTGCTGTACTTTAACCTGTTGCACCACCAGGGAGGGCCCTATGATGCTGTTCTCTCTGTTCCACTTCATTCCTGCAAGGCGTTGTCTCTTTATCCCTTACCTGCCCCCTTGAAGCACTATTAACACCAGGTGGTTTTGGTAATATACTTTCCTCTTTTAACCAGGTCTGGGGAGACCCACCACTAACGTTTGCAGGGCCAGCTCCAAGTACAAATGGAGACTTGCATATCATGGTCTAATCACTTAAACTTATCCACCAAGCCAGCAAGCCATTCATAAGTGAGCTCCTCCCGCCTTAACAACTATACAGTTTACCAAACAGAAATGCTAAGATCAGGCTCGGAATCTTCAGAGACTGAAAGAATCTGACTCCGTGTCTTCCCACTCCAGTCTATTCTCTTGCCTTTTCCAGCTTCTCCAAACCACTTGCATTCCGTGTCTCATGACCTTGAATCACCCAAATGCTGCATTGTCACATCTCCTCTTCTCTCTCCTCTCCCCTCTTATGATGCTCTTGGCCCTCCCTGGAGAATCTGGAACCACCTTCACATTTCCAGACCCTCCATTTCATCACCTCTGCAAACTCACTTTTGCCAAACGAGGTCACATAGTCACAGATCTCAGGTAGTAGGGTGTGAATATCTGTGTAGGGATCATTATTCTGTCAATCACAAGCTCCAAGTATTAGGGTGTGGATATCTTTAGGGGAGCATTATGCTGTCTACCACAGGTTCCCCAAGCATAATCCTAAAGGGAGATGTGAATTTGCGGGAGGAGGGTTGTCCTCAAAAGCCCAGGGTTCAGAAGTAGTCCTCCTTTCCTGGAGATGTGAGGTGGATATTGGGTTTGGAGAATCGAGCTATTAGGACACAGAACAGAAAAGGAGAGAAAACGTTTTTTAATTGTGCATTCATCCACCCATTCTTCTTTCAGCAAGTTTTTATTGAATGCCTTTCATGAATTGGGCTCAGTTCCAGATACCCGAGATGCCCATTTACCAAAAGCTTCCTTTCTCATATGGGGAAGGGGTAGACAAAAAGTACCCAGATATTAAAAACATATGTTCCTTGAAGGACTCGGGGATGAAGCATCTTGAGGGGGCATTTCTCTTGGACCATTATCCTTTCCAGTTCTGTTGTTCCCATATTTCACCTTATCTGCTTCCTTTCTCTCCAGAGAGCAGTTTTCAGTACCTTTCTATATAATGTTGGGGGGTTCTTATGTCTCCAGAGTTCCTAACAGTATCCTGAGGGTTGATTAACAGCCCTGATTTTAGAACCAGGTGGTCCTAGGTTCGAATGGAAACCACACCCCTAAACTTGCTGTGGAGAGAGTCAATTCTTGTCTTCGTTGTCATAACATAGGGTGAATAGTTCCATCCACTATAAAGCAGCTCAGGGAAACAGACTGTCAGGAGTCCAGGTCCCTCCCTTCTCGTCTTCTTCCCTTCTAGAGTCAATTGAGCTCATCCCAATCTCTGTGCACATTGTCGGTTCTTGTTTTTAGCTGTGCTCACGAAATCAGGAAGCTCCTCTTTCCCACAACCATTCAGCTCCACACTCCAGTCTGAACCCTGGCTGGCCCCAACTCAAGTCCAGACCCCCCACCCCAAATGATGCTAGAGTCATTAGTCCAGCTGTGGGGGTCTCTCCCTGGCCAATAAGCAGCGGCCACGGTAGGAGTTGGTCACTTGAAGCTTCAGAGTACCACTTACCTGCTGCTGGCAGGTACAGAAAGATGGGAGGGGATCTGGGACAGGGGAAGGCTGGGGCTTTCTCGACCTTCTTCTTCCCCTGGCCCCCTGCCTGTTCTCCAACTACAAAGTCTGGTAAACCCCTCAGCCCTCTTCCCAGGGCTCCCTGGTCTTGGGGACACACCCTTTCTCTGTGCCTGGCTCTTTCCCAAGCATCTTGAACCAAATTGTCCCTTCCCGGGTCTCTTTCCCTCCTTCGTAGCCATGGCTTCTTAAAACGTTTCCCTTATTCATTATGTTTCGAGGATTTC